TATATATATATGTATATTTTTATATAAAGTTTCTAAAATTGTATGGTACATATTAGTCGTTTGTATTTTTAGTCTAGTTCTTTGCTATTATAATAATCTAATTCTTTACATTTACATTCTTTGCTAAGTACAAGAATTTATTTTATGTTAAAAATAATTAATTTTTAATTGAGTACTTAAATTATTCATCACTATTTGATTCAATTATCATCAATATATCTTGGTAAATGATAGATTTCTCAAAGAGCAATTGGTTTGATAGTGTTACGTTGAAAATATAGTCGCCGAAATATGTGTTTGGTAGTATATGTCTCATATTTAAGAAAAAATCCGATAAATAACCGAAAAACTGACAAAAACCGAATCAATAAAAAACTGACTTAATTGGTTTGGTTTGATTCCAATATTTGAAGAACCGACTTACTTGGTTTGGTTTCTTTTTAGGAAAAAACCGATCCAAACCAAACTGTGAACACCCCTACCTTTAATATATAAATCTGTAAAATGTTGAGAAAACAATGTCTGAACTGAAACCAATAAATAAAAAGATTTAACAATCATACTTTGACCCACTTAATTCTTTTTGAATAGATGGAGGTAGGGGTGTCAATGGTTCTGTTCGACCGGTTATTTTATAAAATTTGCACCATATCAATTTTTTGGTTATTCTATTGTGTATAACCAAAATTAAATTTTTTAAAATCGTCCCAATCATGTTGGTTTCGGTACGATTCGGTTAATTTTCGATATTTTTTTAAATTTTATGCAAAAAGTCACTAGTAAAAATAGAATGTAATAACGTACATACTTTTATAAAGAATTAACAAAATTCTCTAGACATTTTTACTGTTTAAATGGTGATGAATTATGAAAACATGAAAGATGGCCAGAGTATAGATCCATCAATTACTCTACTGCTGCGTAAAAGAAACTACACAAAGACAAAGAAAAGATAAATCACACAAGTACAAAGATATTAACCAAGTTAGGACTCAAGAATAAAGTAAATAGAAGATTAAATATTCAAAAAGATAAATTTAAATCAAACGAAAGGAAACATATTCAATACATTATAGTTTGCTACTCATAATCATTAAAATACTTTGTGTCTTGCTAGTGAATATGCTAGGAATAATTTAGTTTCAATAGGAGTAACATAATAGGTTTGAGAATTAGGATTTTGATCTTATTTACTTGTTGGCTTATAATCATTTTTATAGTTCCAAGACCCAAGGAAAAATTTAGTACTTTATTATTTTTAAACTTAATATATAAATATATTTTTCATACGTAAATTTATTCGGTATGGTTCGGTATTTTTTCATAAAATAAAAAATCTACCCTAATTATTAGTATGGTTGTAGATTTATATAGAAACCTACGATTCTATTAAAAGAAACCTAAAAATCGGTTCGGTACGGTACGGTCAATTTAGTCGGTTTTTAAATATTCATTGATACCCATAGATGGATGTATACGGGCTATTTGATTATAACAACTGGAGTCCAACTTATAATAAATGATCTTTAATTTACTTTAATTTGTTTAAATTGAAAAAACATCTATGGTAGTGGTATTTGTTTGGAAAAATCTGCTTGATATAAATCTTGCAAAAGTATTTCCAATTTTAACATGTTCTGTTTAAGGAACTTCAAGAAATATTTCCAAAAATTATTTTTAAAGCATTTTCCTAAGAAAAGTTCTTGTCCGCTTACAACACTCTCTCAAATCTTTTTAATTTTTTTTTAATAAAAAAGGAAGACTGCAACTATCCGAACACATTTCTTCCTTACTTCCATTGTAATAATTTTTTTTTTTAAAATACTTCCTAAAGAAGTCCTCAATATTTTCAGAAAACTTCTTAAAAACAAACACCAAACATCACGAGGGCACAATCCAGGTCATTAGTTTGGGACTGTTTGTAAACTTTTAGATAGCTAAGGCCTAAGGGGAGAGATGCCAAGATCAAAAGCTTTGATAAGTCGACATCCTTATAGTGACATAGAGGAGGCAAGTTTTGCAATGACTTTTAGAAAATATCATATCACCTCCATTTACTTTGATTTATTCAAATTCAACCTTCCAATGGATTTAGTAAATAATATTAATGGTGTTTCCTTCTGTTTTGCATTTTAGAAAAAAAATAAGGAAAATCAGTTATGTCTATTTATAAGTAGCTTATAATAAAAATTGGCCAACTCATAAAACATTACTAATATTAGTAAAATATTATCAATATTAGCCAATTATCTATTTTTAGTCAAAAAAGGGTCAAATTTTTGTTTTCTTTTGAGTGAGTGTTATCAGAATAGGTTGGGTACATCTTAAGAGCTCGAATCTCACTTTTGGATGATTTGTTGGAGTTTTGAGGTGGTTTGAATTGAAAATTCGAAATAGAAGACGAACATGAAAAAAAATGATACGTGTATCACGTATGTATCATATTTGTATCAAATGTGTATCACATGTATACCTGTGTGTGACATACATGCGTGATACATGTATCGTAGAAAATTTTTTCTGAACTCGATTTTAACTACGAATCTTGATGCCAAAACAGTCCAAATCACCTCCAATCTTTCTCAAATTTTGTATATTGACTCATCTATGTGTTTTCAATGATTTTCAACCATACCCATTGAAAAAAATTATTTTTTTGCTTAGATTTTTAGAATCTTGCNAATGTTGCTAATCACGCTTAAAAATATGGAAGGAGATCTTTATGTGTGATTCTTGGATAGAAAG